AAGAATACTCGACTATGATTAGTCAATTTCTTACGGCTTAAAGATTAAATACTTATTGTGGACACTGACCGTACCCTAAGTGTCGGTCCACAATAAATATTTAATCTTTAAGTCGTAAGAAATTGACCAATCATAGTCGATTATTCTTTTCATATTCGATTATAATTGGTCAATTTCTTACTTCTTAAAGCTTAAATCACCTATTGTGGACCGACACTAAATGAAAAGCATCCTGTGACACTAAATTCTCTTTGTTGGAAAGCACTCACTTATGACAGAGGACTCTGCAGTCTCTCCTACCAACTTTTAACGATAATTGTTGCAATATTGGTAAGTTGGTATCAGTGATACGAGTGGTCGCGCGTAATCGTGATGAATTTCGGGTACGCGTCAGGGTGAAAGTGTACCGTATGCGCTAATGATCTGAGAGATTCTCACAGAAGTAATTTTTTTCGTGCAAAATATGTCACGGCTCTTTGAGGCCTAATGACGGGAAGATATTTCGGCGAGTCATCGTGCGTATTATAAGGCAGAATTAATCTGAGGAGTTTAACGTTACCCTCTAACCGCCAAAATTGTTAGATGGAAACGCCATCTTGTGCATTGATGTTTATATTTTCACACGACAAGTAACGCGCATTGTTGACTTCTGATATACATTTTGATGGGTTAGATGTGGTATGCCAATTGACATGCCTCACTGATAATGAGACTGATAATTTCATCGTATTACCTCATGTTAAACATAATATTTTACTGTCAAAGAAAAATATTTCATTGGTACGTTAAGTTCGGCAGGGGATGGCGTTTGTTGAACGTTTCTCTTTTTCTAATATTTATGTCTTCTTATGTTTGAAATAAAAATATCATTTGTGTTTACCTTATTAATCTTATTTATTACAGATAAGTACTAAAAAAATATAATCATGTTTTATGCACACTTTGTATTGGCCAAAAAAGGGCCTTTGGCCCGTATATGGTTGGCTGCTCATTGGGACAAGAAACTGACAAAGGCACATGTGTTTGAGACCAACATAGAAAAATCAGTGGATGGTATATTACAACCAAAGGTGAACATCTTTCAATATTCACAATTCAGATCTCATAAATATCTCTGCTATATCAAAATTTGCTCATGGTATTTGTAATAGGTTAAGATGGCTCTAAGAACATCTGGTCACTTGTTATTGGGGGTAGTACGAATCTATTCAAGAAAAGCCAAATATTTACTGGCTGACTGCAATGAAGCTTTCGTTAAGATCAAAATGGCCTTTCGGCCTGGAATGGTAGATCTGCCTGAAGAGCATAGAGAGGCAGCAGTAACAGCTATTACTTTGCCAGAAGTGTTTCATGATTTTGATACTGCTATGCCTGAACTTAAGTAAGATAATCTTATGAAATATTGAAGAATTATATATATATGTACAACAATTTTTTAATATTTTATAATTTTTTCAGAGATGTTGATATTGAAGCTCAGTTTAGTTTAAATCAATCTAGAGCGGAGGAAATAACAATGAGGGAAGATTATGGTAGTTTATCTTTGGTTACACATGATCAGGGTTTTGGTGATATGAGTTTTGATGCAGAACCACCAGAATTATTGCGACATGGCAGTGGTATAGAACCTTCATTAGATCAGGTATTTGCTTATTTTTAATATTTTCAATTTTACATAATAGAATTTACATAATCAAATTAATAGAAAAAATTAAGTCAATTTATGCAAAATATATAAGAAAAATATGAGCTGAATAATAAACATAAAAGATTTAATACATATAATTTATTCAGTAATCATGATAATATATTTTTAATTTTTTTTAGTCAGATATGAATTTCATTGATTAAATAAATTATATTAGATCTTTTCTGCTCATTCATTTGGTTCATATTTCAATCAAATCGAAATTTATGAATTTCTTCTAAAACTAATATATAATGTGTATTTATATTTGTATGTAAATATGCACTTAATAATTCAACAAAAAATAGTTTATAAATTACTTTCTTACAAAACATAAAAATTTTCATAAAAAGAAAATGTTTTGTTCGTTATTATTTATGTATATACGAACATATTTTTGTCATTAACAATTTCTAAAAATTTATTTTTAAAATTTATTTTAGTATGTCATTTTAAAGTATTGATTGTTTTATGATTTTAGAGTCACATGTTATTTAGTGATGGCCCAGGAATAGAGACAACATTAGAACAAAAAGAAAAAGAACCAGTTGCAGGCACATCCGCTACAGCACAACCTATGGACATAGATACACCTATCAGAGATGATGGTTTTGGTGGTCATCTTGGCCAAGATATCATATGTATGATAAGAATAATTATTGTTTTTTTTTTCTTTTTCTTTTTTTACAACAACTTAATTATTTATAATAAATGTCATGTATTTTAGCGGGAGGTCTCTTTGAAGGTGGTTTATTTGATGAAGCTCCAATGGGTGAAGTACCTGTGCCTGAAGTAAGTTCGATAAACGAGCAGCAGGAAGCAGGTGTGGCTCCTGGAACTGCTGCTTCTGTGCATGATGAATCTGATGAAGATATGGGTGATCATTTTGGTGGCCCAGCTTCTCCAATGGGAGGCATGAGGTATTTATCAGCTTTGAAAAGTATTCTAATTTTAAAACATACAATCAAAAAAAGAAAAGCAATAATAGTATCATTCTCTCAAAAAACTTTGCATAGAAGTCGATTAAATTTATATATATAGTTATATTCTATCAACTATGTCTTAATTTTCTTTGTTTAATTCCGTTTAATGTCTTATTTTTTACTTTTTTAATTTATTGTTTCGTCTTTGTTGTTGTTTTTGGGCTATATAAAACTGATTATTGACTTATTGAACACATTATGCGCAGTTCGGATGGCTCTAGACCAGCTACACCAGCAGCAACTGGAGAAGAAATTGAAGGGAGAATAAGCGTTGCCAGTCGACGCTTTACACCAGCTCCACCAATTATACCAGAAGAACATGCTATTGATAACATAGAAGAACCGCCACCTTTACAAGATCAAACAACATTATTACACGATGAAGAAGAAAGCTTCGCACTGGCTCCAATTGATGCATCCGCTTTGAAGGGTAAATAATTATTTATTTTAACATTTGATGTATATATTTATTTCTTTTGACTAATAAAAATCATTAATTTTCCTAGGCTTCACGAAAGCTAAACGCAAGCGTAAACTCATTGTTGATGAAGTAAAAAATATTTCTGGCGAAGAAATGAAAGCACAACTGTCCGATACTACCGACATTATTACGACATTGGATTTGGCACCACCTACGAAAAGATTAATGCACTGGAAGGAAACAGGTGGCGTAGAGAAGCTTTTTGCTCTACCAGGAAGGCCTATCCCGGCTCGTGTTTTATTTAAAGTAATACAATTTTACATTACGATTGTTTATAAATAGCAAAAACTTTGAAATTTTAATTAATATTTTCTCTAATTATCAAAACAGAACTATCAAAGACATTTAACCAGCAAGTCTTATGATCATGAAGACTTTGGACGATTTGGGACTGAAGAAGATGGAATGTCTCTGGAACAAATGAGAGATGCTCCAGAAGTAGAAGCATCTTTTGAACAAAGTATCCTTAATAAACGTACAGGGCGGAAACGTAAAGCACCGCAAGATGATGAGGTTAGTTATAAAAATAATAATAATAAAGAGAGAAAAAGAAAGAAATAGAATTTTGATAGAATATGATAATATTAATATATTACAATATCTAGATAAAGCAACCTCCTCAACCGGCTCAGCCAACACCAGACATCAGTCAACCATCGATGAACGAAGCAGTAGAAATTCCAAATATAATTGCACAACATAATCTTTCTTCAGAATCGGCTGTACCACCCGAAGTATCCTTACCAGCAGAACCATCGGTTTCCGATATAAGTAGCATTGTGCCTTCTGGAGAAGCATCAGAGATTGTACCACCAATTACTGAAACACCATTGCTCGGCTCAGAAATACCACAAATCGCTCCAGCTGAAGTCAGCTCAATACTTGGTACACATGAAGAAGCTCAAATACCATCGACATCGACGCAGGAAGAAGCCGCTACTACTGTACAAACGTCTGACATGCCACAGATGGAAAACATGGGTTATGATCAAGTGAGTTAAGAAATTTTACTCTTATAAAAATGTAAAATAAAATGAAAATGAAAAATATTGCATCACATAACTACGCTCTGATTTTTTTTTTTTACATTAAGAATAAAAATTTTTATCTACACATTTTTCGATAGGCACAACCGCAGGTTTCATACATGGGCTATGACGAACAACATCCCCCAGCACATACACCTGGTGCGATTTCCGAAAGAGGGCCCGCTACACCGTGGAACCATGAGGATTATGAGTTTCCGCCATCCGTGGGACCTGTAATATATGCTTAATATTATTTATAAGATTATTTTATTACTTATTTAAATTATATAAATGATTCTTTATTATATAATATATATTTATTGCAAACTATAGAGAATAACCTAAAAAAATCGATGATAAATATTAATTGTTTATGTTTTTCAGCAAGAGGAACAACAAATGGATGAAACTTATGAACAATTTGAGGAACGCGTTCTTAATAAAAGGGCAGCGCATATGTATCATGTTATTAAGAGCAAACTAGATACCAAAGATAAATTAACATTATCAGAGATGGCATTCAAGAATAATCGCAAACAAGTAATTTGGAAAATGATATTCAATATATTCATCTCTATATAAGACTAATATTAGTGTATAAAAATATAATTTTTATTTTTGCAGGTTGCACAAAAGTTTTATACATTGTTAGTTCTGAAAAAATTCCAAGTATTAGAACTCAATCAAGAATATTCATATGCTGAGATTATAGTCACAAAAGGACCAAAATTCGAAAATCCTGCTCTATAAAGGTATATGCTCTTATTTAAAAAAATTTGAGTATTAATGAAGAAAGGATAATTTTTTACCCAAAATATCAAAATATTTCCATTTTTCCATAAATAAATCTTAAATTAATGGATTCGTTAATTTTAAACATTGAATAATTGGTGAAAAATGTAGAAATATCTTATTATTTCTTTTCCCTGTTTTGGAAAGATGCATAATGAATGCCACTTCTTGTAATCATATTAATTGCATTGCATTTTTTTTACATATACATATATACTGTATTGATGCTTTTTATTTAAATTCTTGTTAAATTTTTATTCATTTAGAAATTATATCTTGCATTATTCATCGATCCGAACAGGGTTTGTATATAAACATAATAAATAATTAGAAAATATTTTACATATATATCATCTGATTCTTAAATCAATATATTACAAAAAGGTCCAAAATCGCACGTACATTCTTGACATAGCTTAGTAAATTTTGATATAATTATCGACTCTCATTTAAAAATATTTAGGCTGTTACTCATAGTTTTTACATTTAAGATAATCTTAAGTAAACTTAAAATGGCAAACCAATCAAAGCCATATTAGCGTCATCATACTAGCAAATATTACTTAAGATGGTCTTGAAATAAACACAGACTATGAATACTGGCCTTAATGATAAAGTATTAACACAGTTAGATATTTTCAGTTTATAAGATTTAGTAATAATTTAATTTGGGAATTTATTTGTAGTACTTATATACATTTTTATTTATAATGTAAACAGCTATTAATGGATTAATTTACTATTTATGAATAATAATTTTATTTTTGTATTGTCAAAAAAAATACATTTTCTATTTATATCTATAAGAAAATATTAGATACAAAAAACTAAATATTAATTACAAAATTTTATAAACTTTTTTTTATTATATTTTTATGATTTTTTATTATATTTTTATAATATGATCAAAAATTATCAAATTTTTTGCTCTTTAAATAATACTTAAAAAATAAATTATCAAGTGAATAAATCGGAATATAGTACTAACTATTTTCAGAACAAAACTAGTATGTACTATATCAGATAAAATTATTTAATGATTTATTGTTATACTCTTGTCTATTTATAAAATACAAGAATGTTACAAAAAATAAATAATATATTTTAACGAACTAATTGTTTGTCATTAAAACTTTGCAATAAAATCATGAGTTTACATTGTAAATAAACATATAATCAAGATAAAAAAACGTTAAAATATGATAAAAACTCATTTAGCGATGTGTCATTAAGTTTACAATCAGTTTACTGCCATGATGTAGCAAACATATTGTAAATAACATTTATTTAACGTATCATGTCTATTGAAAAAATAAATATATCATTTATATATAACATCGTTTCTAAACGATATTAAACCTTCTGCATATACATATCATATAATACTTAAAACTACCGTTCTCCATGATTTTCCATTAATGAACTGTTATATTAAATATTAATTTATCAAGTCAGTAGAAATATATATATTTCTTTATAATCATTTTTATCTTTTATATCTGTGATGCTAAAAAAATGTCATTTGAACTTAAAATAGACTCATTTTATTATTCAAGGACATAATCCATTCTATTTTAT